TAATTTTCAACGGGGCATGCGCCACTCACCCCGCTGTTTCTGTCCTCTTACCGTAGCACCGGAGCTTAAAAAATGGTATCCACAATCCACGAAATCGAATACTCCCGAACAGTCTTGTCAGCTGTCAACTTTTTATTCCCTACAACCATCGGTCTCGACCGGATTGTCAAAATGATTGTCCATCGAGGGTCGCATGAGCTGTTGGCATGAGGCCGTATTTTTACATTTAGTACAGTATCCATCGCACAGATCGAAGGCTTACTTGGAAGCGACCTTAAGTTTGGTTCGCCTGCTGCAGTCGCACGGTGCCAGCATCAGGCCCTATATACGCAGCTAGCAATGACGAAGGCGTGCTACAACTGCGTTCCACCCGAAGGATCGATTCGTCGGCGTTAACATTTTTCTCCTCTTTGACAACCATAGTTGTTAAGGAGGGACTAAAGATCGCAGAAGTAGTACACTACGTATCTGTCGTTGGGATTCTGCTGTTAAGGTCTTAGTTGCTGAGGGCACGCTTTCAAGATGCCATGCTAGGTGCACCATATTTGTAGGACGATGGGGGAATATGGTCCTACTTTGCATGTACTCAGGTGACGCACAGATATTTAACCTCTTAAGGTGCAACAAAAGTTGGATGTTGCATCAATAAAAAATGCGCTTAGAGTCATTTTGTGAAAACAAATTCATCAACAAGCCATTAAAATATCACCAGTTAACTTGAGAGTAATCCTAATGTTGCTAGCATATTTCTTTCGTTAACAACCTGATAGCGACTAAAGAAAACAACTGCCGGTATCTCCGTACCAGTACTGTCCAAATCAATAGAAAGTGCAGTATTCGCCAGAATAAGTCATGGCCTACTTTCCATTTTACCACACCTGCACGCAGCCAGTTGGAGCATGGAACTGTAGGTAAAAAGTTTCGAGCGAATACCCTGCATGGAATCAGGTCTCCTGAAGATAGTTCCAAGGATGGCCGTATTACTTTAGTTGAACATTGAGCAGATCACATAGTTGGACTGTGCCTCGAAGCGCCGAGGAATAATCCATTTATTCATTTACAAGTCTGCACTTGCTATTGCTCCGTTTCTTATTAGCTAGTAACGTTAATCTACCAATCACACTAAAACTCCATTTGGGATCTATTGTATAGAAGGTGAAATATTCCCGGTTTTGTACGATATCATCGTACAAACTGATTCAACTACTCAGTTGGACTGTGCCTCGCACTGTCGAGGAATACACCGGTTACCCATTTATTGATTTATTTTGTCTCACTGAGATTTGTCGCAGTCAGACAGTCACTATAAATGTTAAACTCGTGGTATAGAAACGGCGTTGAAAATCCGTTTCGTTCTACTGGGACGCGCCAGCAACGAACTCCCGCTAATTCCTGCTGGATCCAAGCGCATGACAGTACACTTGGAACCAGCGGCTCCATCCACTGAGCAACGTTTGACGTCATGACTTATGATAGACTGCGGCGTATATATATTTTGCAAAAGTCTGCTGACAGACATAATGCCATCAGAAACCATGGTTTCTGATGGCATTATGTCTGTCAGCAGACTGCGGCGTAGCATGGTCACGACATTTTTTGTAAGGCATCAACAACCTAGATAGCATACAACATGTATAGGTAATTACTGTTGCAGGGGTTGGTGTGCTGTTGAGAAAGTTTACCGCTACCAGACGCGGCCAAGCAACCACCACTTTCAAACTTAGGGTGAATGACTAAATACGGCTGCGATGCTCCCCCTCAAAACATCCCAACTCCTGTTGAAAGCCAAACGGCTAGGTTCGGGGGCTTTCAAGTGAAAAAGACAACAGCTTCCAATTTCGGCGAACATTCACACGCATACATCTCTCAAGCGTAGGGGTGGGATGTAGCGCACAGCAATAGAATGTACGCAGTTGTATACTAACACTTCTAGGGATCGCGCCGAGGTGAAACTAATCGCATGGCAGCGACAGGTTTTGTAACTGGTCATGAAATAGGCGGCGCCAGCAGTGAGTGGTCTAATCCCGGCTGAAATACCGGCTGACCAGTCAGCTGGCTTGCTGAACAACCTCCTCGTGGTGCCAGCTGGGTGGTTCGGGTTTTTCCCGTTCTAGCAAATAATTCGGCGTCAGCGTTCCAGGACGTGGTGGGTTTTCACCTTGCAAGCGTTCTTCCTATAAAAAACCACAATTGTCTGTCTAACAACACTGTGACGAGGCGGATGTGACTCGCCACTAAATAAAGTCACTGCCCCTTGCCCCTCCCTGAGAGGCATATTATTTCAAGGGTGCGTTGTGCCCCTAGTCCTTCACGAACCGAAAGGCGTATAAAACCATCTATTTGGGCACCGGCTCTCAATGGGTTGCGACACCCTCACATCGCCTTGCTGTTTTGTAGGTTAGATCTTTGATCAAAGGCTCGGGGAAGGAGCCCCTTAGACAACCCGCTACTTCGGTCTGGACAACCGGGTAGTATCACGCCCACTGACGAATCATGGACCACACTGCTTACTACTGCTCCTGCTATGCCTATATTATGCCAACTCAACCGCTCAACATCCACTCACAGATCACCCCGCCTCCCTCCTTCACCTATATGTATTCTTATCTCTTCTACGGCCACCGTCCCAAAGACCTACCTCTCGCAACTGATGCAAGCAACAGCCCAACTTCCGGTCTTCGATGTCCTGCAATCGCAACCGCCTCTCACTCCACCGAAACTCCAGCTCTTCTTCAACCTTGTTCTCCATTCATCCTCGCAGCGTTTAATGTTCGAACTTTGATGTAGATCGGACGACCAGCATGTCTGGCCCGTAATCTTGGAACGCTTACGGTAGATATCTGTTGCATTTCAGAGACCGGATTACAAGACTCCAGTGCCGTCATCAGAATGGCCTCTCCGGTAAACCCTGACACCAAATACCACTTGCGGCTTTCCGGAGACCCAGAAGTTGCCGCCACTGGCCAAGCTGGTGTTGGGGTTGCACTGAGTGCCAGGGCTGAGTCAGCTCTGCTTGACTGGATCCCAGTCATCAGTCGGCTATGTGCAGTCAGACTATGGTGGACTGCCTACAACATGGGGAAGCCGCATGAAAAAGCTGACCAAACAGTTGGTCTCGGTCGGTTGTTGTCGACTACCCGGTTGGGGTCCGAGAGATGCAGATACTTGCTGGTTGAAGACGTTGGAAGCCATGGCTCAAGATCGATGGGCGTAGGTAGGATATTACTTTACTTGCATCCGTGGTGCTAAGTACTTCGGTCTTATAACCAGGCGTCTGTCAACAAAGATATTTGAGCACTGTCCCGGGTCTCTACAAAAAGGCACTGCCGGAAGTATCAGAAGTTCCATCCTTGAACATCTGGTTCAAAGTGGACACGAAATTCTGAGCAATGATGCTTTCAACGTTTTCTATCCTTGCCAAAACGATATCCTAAGGGGATTAAGATTGCGGACCCGATAGTGATCAAGTTAACGCAACCGGAGCGTTGCCAGCAGCGGATACCACTGCAATCTCTCACGCTGCCGTGGTCGTGATAAGGATCCATCCCCGTGGAACACTGATGTGACCAAACGTGGCATCAATTCTCTGCTGACCCAATTTGCTTCGCGACGTGGTCAACGAACTGTGCCAAGTGGGGTCGAATAAGGTCAGCCTTCATCGATAACACAGGCTTTACCTATTGGCCCGAGCAATTTAACTTCCGTCCGAATAAATTCAGACCTTCTCCTATTTTCGTTTTAGCTCACATTAGCTTATGTGTATCAAAGTTATCCTTGTAAACTTAATTGCCTGATGTGAGTTACCGAAAAGAGATCGTCTTGCAACCCTGTTTTCTTACATTTGTATGGGCATTTTCTACAAGATGCCTTTTGTCATCATTTTTAAATTGTAGGTCACGCTCGTCTGAATAAACATTTTTTGTAGGCTCTAGTTACTAGTACGTATTTTATCCTGCTTAACAGGTTACATTTCAAGTGAGATACGGTAAACTAATTCGATGGCTCTTTCTCTTTTGGAAAACATGGAATTATTGATTAAGTGCCTAGATCAATTTATTGTCCACTTATGAAATGTCCCGATGTCGGGCAATAAAACGGTTTCGACTGTACATACTTGAAGGTATGAGCTTTGTAGTTTCTAGGCGTCTTCTTTCAAAAGGTCCACAAGCCAGTAACACAAGGTGGCTATTTCCATTGTACCTTCGACTCACTAGCGGTGGGTTTACGTTAAAGATGGCAACTTTTGTTAGGACTCGCAGATTCCCTATTCCAAGTGCTTTCTAAATATGACTTGTTGAACTTCTAACCCATAAATACCGGCTCCTCACTGGGCGAACTGCGCGTACGCTATGATTGACACACATGGTAGCGGCCTGTTACTCTTATCCTGATGGAGCGTTGTTTAAGCAGCCTTTCGATGCTAGTGGTTCCGGCTCTCTTTTGCAATACCTGATCTCGGCTGCTGTCAGCAGATTCTCCGTTACCGTTTAGAGTTCGACGCTCCTCAGAATGCATCAGCATACGATGGGTATGGTGAAGGTGCGCAAAGCAATTGAAGAAAATAAATCGCCGGCTGTACGCCGTAACGGCGCTTCGCTGCCAAGCGACCATAACCAGTCGCGCGTGGGCTGAGCATGCCGCGAGGAAGCCTACCTCTACGCAGATTCGAACCGGTGACCTGATTTTTGCAAACCAGGTGCTCAGTGTACTCGGACACCGGCCGACCAACGCAATTTCAGAAAATATACACACCAATGATTGCTAAGTTCAACCCTACGGCTTACATGACCCAGCACCTTATAAGCGCACGGACTTCGTGTGTTGGTTATCTGGTTTCCTGATAGCATGTTTGTTAGTGATAATGTTCGAAGCAGACAGAGTGACGGCTTGCTGAATCTTTCGACAGAAGCACGAAAGCAATGCCGTTAAACCTAATCGCGTGGATGCATGAGTTGACAAACGCATGTTCCATCGAAAGTACAGTTAAAACAACGGCTAGTCTAATTTGCGCAAAGCAATGTATACATGAAAACAATGTTGTCGGAAATAAATGCACCAAAATCCTGTTCAAATGGGGAACAGTGTTAGTTGGGGCAAGAAGTTCAATGCAGATGTGTGGATCCCATTTGGCTCAGACAGCGAGCGAATGATGACTCTTGACGGAATGGAACTGTTTGGCGATCCAATGATTCTGCTCCAACTGAAATAGTGGAATCACAAGAAACCATGATATAACTACATTATTTGGGTGGAACAGTGTGATACTGTATTCAAAATTCAGCCTATCGTAGTGACGCACCTAGCTTGGGACCAAGGGCAGAAGGTCTTCCGGCACCATTTTACTCGAACAAATGACACGCAGACGCCGCACATGGGAGGGGATATTTGTTGGGAGTGTATGACAATGTAAAATTTAGCACGATGAGATAGTTTTTGGTTACTACTCACAACTACACCTGGTGTGATAGCTCAATTAGACCCATAACATTCGGCCATGAGCAACATCAATCCTAATGAACGGAAGTCCGGGCTAGATGGGATCCCGAATGTTCCCTACCACATGCGACAATGTTTGGGCATCTGACATGGTTGAAGCCCGCACGCAGCAAACGGACGATTTTAGCAATACATTGGTTGAACACTATGATTTTGATTTGGTAGGCCATAGTGCGGTGACGAAACGTCTCATTAACCAACTTGCGTCACAGTCTGTCGTGTGTTCATTATGCCGCATGTAATGGCCGAACTGTGGGACCTCCTGCGCTTAATGCGCAATCACGGGTGAGTGTGGATAAGCATGACGATCGGTCGCAGCAGTACGTCAACCGTTTGAACCGACGCTTTGGTGCCACAAAACCAGAACAGTCCAGGGAATGAGTAACAATAACATGGGGAGAAAGGGAACCAAACCTAGAGCCTAAATGCTCCAAACAAACATTTAGAGTTCAGGCGCCCAAACATTCCAACAACACATGGCCACAAACAGTCGGCTTTCGTGCGAAAACTAGGTCGCATTGGTAAGACGGTTTCCTTGCGGCTTTCATTGCGTCACGTCGAAATCAAAATTGTCCGATAGACAACAGCGTCTCAAATACACAGAAAATCCGAAGAAACGACGATTAGAAACGTGCTGCCGATACCGGCCATGAGCCATGGCCTGTAAAGACCTTAGGCATACGTAATGTGGATCATGTGGATTCCAGTCTGAAATCAGAGGTGGGCCAACATCACCTAATTCAGTCGTTCGTGGCCTCATGTTCTTCTGCCAAGTCAAGTTTCGTCCAACTGGAATCTTACGCCATCCAACACCTGACAGACCAAGTAGGGCTGTATCAGTAAGTGGTGACCAAGTACATATAACTAGTCCCCAAACCAAAGGTGACGCATTCCAAACTATTTGTCGCACCAAAGACGTAACGTGGTTGTCACGACCATTCGATTTACTAACCGTGTGCTTGCATGTTAAGTCCCTTCATTTCAGGTGGGGGGTTTTCAATTTTGTCCTAATGATTTTCTTTCTCATTTTATTGTCTACCTGTACTATCTTCTATAAACGTGCATACGTCGCTGAAGCTGATTGTGGTTCATTTCGATAACATTTTCGCGTTTGCGGCATTTCCTTAAAATATGTTTCCTGACCTCTTGAACTTATCATGGATTCGTTCGTTATCCATTTCTTTTGACGTACATTTAGTGAAGAGTTTTGTCTCCGTGTCTTTATGCATTATTCGATTTATTTTACTTCATGTTGTCATTTCAAGTGATTGGATGTTACGTGATATCCCCGGTGTGGCTGCGCTGGATATGCATGTTGACAAGGTGCTTGCCTGTCTATTACCCACTACTTCGTTCATACTGGCTCTAGGAGATAGTTGATCATGTCTGGAGGGGACGGTGTGCACAGTCCTTGTGGCCGTGCTAGGCTCGAGGCGTGGTTCCATGTACTTAGTGTGGAGCGGACTACGGTCCAGCCAACGCCTTGCGTGTGCGCTTGATTCCCCAAATACAGCGTGCTTGTGTTTGCCCGTGAAGAAGTGAGGGTCGGCTCCGTTGATGAAACGTGGTTCCCATCCGCATGCCTCCCCGTCTAACTCCTTCGGGTTTACACTGGATATGGGGTGTGTGGTTGGAGCTGTGGGTGGTGCAGCGCAAGCCACCCATGGTCCCTCCATTGTGGATCCAAGTCCAGTATTGCTGCTGAGCTCTTATAGACAGTCGCCTGGTGGTTTTCCCAATATAACTTGCTCGATAAGAGCAAATGAAAACGTACACACAGCGGGAACTCTGCCACAGACATATTCTGCCCTTGAGTTGCCAGCGCACAATCGGTGTTGAGGTGAAGCTTACGCACCGCCTGCTGCCGACAGCATAGGCGATCGCAATCCGGCTCCATAACCATAACCTACGTGCATAGAAAATATCCGTCCAGGCTGCACTTTACCTTGGTCATGGGCCAGCACACCACTTCACCGGACTTCACGTCAACCGGACCAGTCACCTGAACTTATCGATCAGACACTTTGATTCAGTGACTCATCGCGTTTGAACCTCATGTGCCCAGTTTAGTTTGCTTAGTTATGGTTATACTAGCCTTATGAGGAACCACTGATGACATGTCACTTCGCCAGTTTTGTTTCTGTACTGGAGATTTTTATGCGGTAGATTGTTATGAGCTTTGCTATATTACTTGCCAAAATATGCCACTTAACATCATTGATAATTACCCATCGCATTGAAGCAGAAGACTTTCGTTGTTGCGTGCTCCTAACACTATATCTTGCGGTCAGTTTTACTTCGTTTGCAGTAATCAGGTAGAGAAGATGGCCGGAACCCACTGACAATGCGCATACTATGAATGCTAAAGCACGAATACCTGACTCGATGCGTTGTGTTGCTCACACTACGCAACTTCATCTTCCTCACTACTAAGTGCAAGTTGAGTATCAATTACCTAGACACTTCAGGGCACAAACTCCTAGTTGATCTGCACCTTCATTCGACCATCGTTACTGGGCTGACTCGGCTACACTTGTCTAGGTCACACGGTCGCCCTTCTCTGACTCGAGTAGCAGCATACCGCTTACTCAAACCTTTCCGTGGGCTCGGCTCTATCAAACAACATCTCATGGGATACTGGCTGTTCGAAATGCTTGTGAGCCCGTTGCCGTCCAGAGGAAATTTCTCTGCTGGCACTATGGATAGTGTGAATAGATAAATGAAATTTAAATCAGAGATTGCGTAGTGACAAGGAAGCCTGATGAACAAAAGCGATTGGGGAACTGAGGAAACTGATCCGCACTACTGGTTCCTGGAAGTTATTCGTCAGTGCGACCTGCAGGGACATCAATGGCACATCTTTTTAGAATTAGGAACTTTGACTGGTTTGTTGAGTGGAACACTTTTGGAAGCAACCCAATTAGCCTCCTGGACCTAAATGCCTGCCTTTTGGATGGTCAATTTCTACGCATGCCTGGTCACCGCTTACCTAGGAGGGTCTTGTTCAGTCTACCAGGTGTAGGATGGCGCAAAGCTCTAGGTTGACAGAAGTTGACTTGGTAGCGGGAAATGAAGTCACTGACAACCAAACTGGGTGCCGTTGGTCCGTCTCGCCTTACGGGTTGGAGTCCACGTGACTCGATCTATTGGGTCTCGTCATTGACGCGCTTTCCTCGAACCTGATGACTTCTGGATAGCAATAGCTTGTGCCACTAAGCCATGGGTGACGGCGACCGCCCGTTTCGACTGCGAATTGACTACGGTATGACGCGGCTACTCTTCCACTGCCGTGACAGTTACGAACTGTGCAGAGAACAGTGGTTGACCCCAGAGCTACGACTTTCGGCATAGCGACTGTGTACGATTCAACGCTTGGTAGCTGTACGGACAGACTTCCGATTACTTATGAACAGTGGGGACTTCAGGGATAATTCTAGTTGCAGTTCATTGCAATTTCTCTGCAGGGCTCTGAGAGACGCACAGAAGATGAAAACAGCTGGCTGGCGCATTTCCGGACGTGTGGGAACTTGCCTGACTGAGAGGGGACTGTGACAAACTACATATAGCATCAGATCCGCACGTCTTTCCATCCTACGCAGTTCCACTCACGGGCTTGCATATGCAATGTAAACGCATGATGAGTAGGCGAGCAGCCATCCGTTCACGTGAAATGTATTGCCTGGAAGTGTCGATGTCTTGGCTCTGCACACACCTGCATTGTTAACGGCGATGATACTACCCTTCCCCATCGCAACGCATTCTCTCGCATAGGTCAATAATCCATCAGTCTACACTGCTCGGTTATTTCCAATGGCTCTCGAGGTCGGAACCCAGCTGGTCCATAATTAATAGGGAAACTCAACTATCTGATACAATATTTTACTGCTAAATGGTTTGGCTCAACTGGCATAAAACGTGGCCGCTATAGATTATCTCTCTCTACATCATTAAGTCCTGATGTGTGTGTTGGCTATCCAAGACCTATTTGCACCGCATGCGAATAGTCTCAAGCGCGGCCTCAAGTGCGCCTGCAGTCACAACTCCATGAAACAATGGTATAAGACGGGTAAAATAGCCAAGACTACAAATCCCGTAAGATGGTTTTTGGGAATAATGTTACTTCAGTGAAATTACACAAAAAGAGAAAAACGCATCTGTATACTCACCATATTACCCACGTTAACACATGGGTGTATCCCTCTACCCCAATTTCGTGGGGTTGGTGAGCATAATGTTTGTCTGCGTCTTGTCGTCATCCGATGAACAGAAATCAGATCAAGTAATGTAAATAGTGAAATGTGATGGTGTAATGTGATGGTGCAAGAACCACGGAAAGCACTGGATAGGTTGCGTTGGCTCGGGCACGTGCTACGTACGCCTGGTCACCGCTTACCTAGGAGGGCCTTGTTCAGTCTACCAGGTGTAGGGTGACGCAAGGCTCTAGATTGACAGAACTTGATTTGGCAGCGGTAAATGAAGTCATTGACGACCAAACTGGGTACCATTGGTGCGTCTCGCCTTCCGGGCTGGAGTCTATGTGAATCACCTTGTGCTTGGCTCAAGACTTTACAGGACATGGCTCGCAACCGACACCAGTGGCGCGTCTGCTGCCGTCTCCTAATCGGGTTTCCTGTTTAAAGTGTGTTTGGTGCTGAGTTATATGCGGGGTAATGGCTGATTATGACGCGTGGCAATGAAAGCCGC